TTCACTGAAATCTTCACCTAATTCTAGCTCTGCCAGTCGGCCTTATGTCCTAAGAGCAGCTCCATGGCAAACTTGAATCACCCGTGTGCTGTTGTCTGCTGCAGCCGACCTTCCAGGTGCTTATGCTCCTGAGTGTCCTCCTGCTAATGCCTATGAGTCCCCCAAGTGAGGGAACTGCTCTGGAGGGACGACCTTCTCACCAGAGAGGCTGATGACACCCCTACAGCACGACTCAGTCCTCTTCAGGGCACATGCTCTGTGCCTCTGCGGCCTCCCATCAGAGCACCTGCTCTCACAGAGCTGCTGCAACCATCCCCACTTTCAGAAGACCAGCACACAATTCAATCTTTCAAACACAAACTGCCTGTTCTGCACCAGACACTAACCGGGCAGAAAACATGAAGGTCTGACACAGTTCTGCAGGCCCCAAGGACATTATCAAACAGTTAACCTGCAGCAGAAAGTTATAAGAATTCTCAGCAGTAGGAGTGTCGCAGAGATAATATGCAGTCACAGCGGAGCTGGGAGAGAGGCAATGTTGGGGAAAATTCAGAGGTAACTGCGAAACGGTGGTAAGACAGGGCAGGGACTGTGGGAAAGGCAGGAATAGGGCAGAAAACTATAAACCTGAGGGCCAGAGGCATAGGTAGGTAGGGCACCTGTCTTGCATGCAGACAACCTGGGTTCGATTCTTGGTGTTCCATATGTCCCTGAACCCCACCAGAGTGATTCCTGAGTCAAAGACAGGAGAAAGTCCTGACCATTGCTCGCTATTGCCCCCTCCCGCTCCCCCCACCAAAAAAAAAAAAAATACAAAAAAGAAAAAAGAAGACTCTATACCTTACACATGATTCCAACTCTTCAGAGCACAGCATATGGGAAAGAATATCAGCTAGAGTCAAAATAGTTTCTACTCTAAGCACAATGACCGCCAAGCAGGTTAAACACATATACTAATATTTTACCTCTAAAAAAATATCTGTATAAAAACTAGGAATTTATGTACAAGAAAAACTTAGAAGTGAAATTATTTAGGCTTACTAGAAAACAACACAGACATATCCAAGTATGATATGTTCTGATACAGAAAAAAGAAATCTTTTCCTGCTCCTTAACCACAGTTAGGTGAGGAAAAAATGTGCAACTATAGCTTCATCTATTTGCAAGGATCATAGACTCTTATTGACCGTCAGTGTAATGATTCCCTGGCATTTTGTTCCAAACCCCACAAATGACACGATAATGTGACCAGCTGCAGCTCCTTCCCTGCATCTCAGAATCCCTGGGTGTCCACACACTCGCAGCTCTGTAACTTCACACAAAAGACTGGCAACGGGCCAAGAAACCGCTACCATGGTGAATATCCCCCCAAGTTCCAGATTTGCCATTTAATTCCAATTCAGTCATGAAACATGCACTTTAGCACAGCATTCAACAAAAAACAAATTAAATTCCAGTTCTAGTTAAGAAAAGTAATATACCAATACATTCAAGTCAATACCTATTTTTTAAAATCCCTATTAAGATAATCCCTAAAATGTCCTTAGAGTTTTCTATTTCCTCTTAATCTCACCAATGACAAAAAAGCCGCTGACTTCTTAGAACACACAACTGAACTGTATTTCCAAACGTACCTATTAGGCATTCCATGCACATTACTCACTGAAAATCAAGAACGTTTCAACATCCAGGACACATGACCTATGGAAATGATTATGAGATAGAACCCTCGAGAATGATCTCGTTTCCTCTGCATAAAGATACACCCTTACAATCTTACAGAAACACATGGCTGTGTCAATTAAGTAGCTATGTCATTCTAATTTATAGGTTTCCTGAGGGAGAACAGAAAAAACTGAGATCTCTTTAACAGCCTGGCTAATGCATAACACTCATACGAAGAAATGCTTTACAGGAGCAAATAATAAACTGAACACCAACTATTGTACGAGAACCGTGGAAAGACTTTCACTTTTATTGAAATCTTTATCTCCCTCTTGCTTTTTTCTCTTTCAGATTTAGATACCATGCACACAAAGGATGACTGGAATAGTGGCGACATGAATGGCCTAGCCTTAAGATGTATTATTCAACAGCCATAATTTAAAGGAAAAAAAAAAGCTAAACCTATACAAATTTTAGACTTGGAAAGCCACTGACCTCTTATTTTTGATGGATACCTTTCTACGATGCAGTTATCAACAAAGGAATTTGTAGAAAGGATTCGTGCACAACTTCCGTAGGAAGTACAAATCAAAAGTGGCGTTTTAACAAAAAAAAAAAAAATTAAGTGGTATTTGGACTTTCAATGCCAACCCTGTCCAGTTCTGCATTCATGCAATACTCTGAGCTTTATGGGAGAAACAACAATACTGAAAGGCATCCTCTGAAGGGGGTAGGGCTTTTCCTTCAAGACCAAAAGCCTTTTGAGTTAATAAAAAAGAAACAAGTTATTCACCGCAGGTGACTATCAAGATAAGAATCTAACTTCACACCAAAATTAAAATACAAACATACTGACTTTCTGAGCCTACCAAATGGATATGGAATTTTTAACATTCCTAGTAACATAACTAACCTAGCTTTAAGTAGCCGCAAAAATACTTTGTCATTTACAGGAAAGATATGTTAAAAACAGAGAATAGGACCTCCAATCTCCATTTAAAGAATGTAATACTTTAAAAAAATTTAAAAAGTTGGAAAGGCTACACATTTATATATAAAGGAGTAGAAAAACCAGCTGAAACAGGGTCTGAGTGGCAGTTCAGAGGGCAGGGCGCCTGCCTTGTACAAGTTCGACCCAGGTACCATCCCAGTACCACACACTTGAGCCCTGAGCATTAGGTGTAACCCAAAAATTAAACAAAACACAGAAAGGGAAAACAAAGGAGGGTGAAACTGCTAGAAAACCTTCAGAGTAATTTCAAAATAATTTAAATATTTTTTCAAAGATTATATAACAAAGTTATCAATTAGACAGCATAACCAGGGTTTTGTTTGGGTTTTTGTTTTTTTTTTTTCACCATATTATCCTTCATTTAAAAGCAAAATGCTGGCTCCCAAAAGCTCGCCTATCCCCGACAGAAGACCATATTTAGGCTTACAAGGAGAGGGAAAGGCAGGCAATGCTGCACTACACAAGGGCAGGAATTCTGACATCTGGGCCTCAGAGATGTTGACGGGCTGCAGCAAAGCCTCACACGCAGGAGGTCCAGGCTCCACGCTCAGTACCACATGGTCCCCAGCCACTGTCAGAAACCGATCTCCAGGCACTTGCTGGACAGCATCTCTGGGCACTGCCAGATGTGGCCCCAAAACCAAAATAAACGTTTCAAGATGTTTCTCAGCACCCAGCTGGGAAGCCCTGAAGAACAGCCCTGCACAGGTGGAGGTCAGGCTCTGCACGCCCGCTCAGGGTACCGCACGGCAATGCAGCCTCCTGGGCTGCCGGGCGCACTGAGGCAGCACCGAGTCAGCCCAACTAGGGAAGATATGCATCTCGCTGACGGCAACTGCAAGACCAGAGTCAGTGACTCCTGGATCTACACAACAGCCAACATGTGGGCCGTGACTCTCGGAAGGAGCGGAGACCCGCAACTCGGGAGACCAGCGCCCACAACACGAGAGAGCTGAGCCGCTCGGCCCCCAGTGCCCCACTGCCCAGTCCTGCGGGACCCTCCTCAAGGACAACGGTGGAGTATTTGGGAATAAATCTGATTTCTTTTATCAGCCATTTAAAAAAAAAAATGCCCAGTCTCTGCCCTTCCCCAGGTAGGTTCTCCGAGTGATGCTCTGATAACATAACAGACTCCAGAGATCTCTGGCCACTCCCCATATCTGCGCCCCAGACCTCTGCTCATCACCACGTGTGTGGGAACTGCAGTGCTGCTGCTCTAGTCTCCAAACAGTATCTGACCCAAGTCTGGACCCGATGGCAGTCCTGGGCAGAAAGGACTGAGGAGAAAGTGTCCCATCCCTGAGAGTGAAGGGGCCCTCTCCTACTGCACTGAGTTGGGGGCTTTCTGGATCAGTTCTGTTTATCTGGAAACTGGGGACCTTTGGGGCCCTCTCCGCAGCCCACAACCAGGACATTCTGCTCACTCAAGTCATCAGGCACCGGCCTTGTCTCCTGTCCATCACCTCTTCTTCCCCTCCCATCAAGGCAAAAGAGAGAGAAAGAAATCCCCACTATTCCTGCCTTTTCCATCCCCACCATTGTTAGTCCTGCCAGCCAAGTGTAATCTACAAATCAACAACACAAAACAGGGAAGAAAAAAAACACCCTTTTTAATTTTTCTAAACAATGCAGTTTTTCTCAAGTTACGATCTAGAAAACTGACCAGGCACTGACAGGGCTCCCAGCTTCCTATTGGGTGTAGGGGAGCCTCTTCTATCCCTCAGGGCTCCCTGCACTGTGAGAGATGAGGGGCCCCTGTTAAGGCCGAGACGATGCCATGAGAGGAGGCTGAACACCAATTTCCATCTGCCTTTCTCCGGATTAAGAGATGGGAAGTTCGATTACCTGGGGAAATCAATTTTTTTTTGCCTCAAATTATACAATAAATACTTTTAAATGCTTAAGAAAACGTAAAAAGGAGTCTAGAAGTTGAAGAACAATGCCAAGTAAAACCCAAATTAAAAGTCCCAAAAGAAATACGTGTTTCGGGAGCTGGAGAGACAGTACAGCAGGTACGGTGCTCGCATAGCACATGGCAGACCCAGGTTCAGTCCCTGGTATCCCATATTATCCCTGAGCACTGCCATGAGAGAGTGATGGGTGCAGAGCCAGAAGTAACAGATCGCCAGGTGCAGCCTCCCGGAGAAAAAGAAAAGAAGTACATATTTCAATGACTCCAATACCTGTGAGCCCTAAGAAGAATAAAAGGAAGTCACGGTGACAATGACAGCAACTGGCTTGAAAGATTGGAGGGGCAAAGTGGGGAAAACACTCGTACACGCCTCCCCCGTGAGGATCCTGGCGTCCAGAGACCTTGACTTACCAGTAAGCACTGTAGCTACTGCAGTCCATGCACACAGTGTGCTGAGCTTTGTCTTGCTTTTCTGGCTTCTTGTGATTGGCTAAGGGTACTTGTGCATCTTCATAATGTTTTTTTGCATGGCCATTCACATACCTTTTAAAAAATCAAATTAGAATTTATTTTAACCTAATTACGGCTTTGGAACTTAAAACAGATGATAGAATTGGATGGCAAACAAATCAGAACAAGAAAGAATTCCTCCTTTATAAAGGCATTCAATCCTGCAAAGAGCATTGTCATTTATTGATTTAGTTAGCCAAATACTTTTTTTTTAAAAAAAGTTATTTTTTGCAGTCAACTTTAATCCATTAAAGACAAAACTATGATCAAGCAAGGGAAGGAATTACCTATGCAAATTAGTTTCAAAGCCCCCTGCTGTTATTCATCGACCCCTCAGCCAACCCTTTAGCTCTAATGCTCAGACTTTCCCAGGCGTCGGAGGACTGTGGAAGACAAGCTCTGTGTACTCAACCACGCAACTACTTTCCACAGGGCCAGGGTTCTGCCTGGGCTGCTGCTCAACAGAAAACGCTGCAGAAGCGGGATCATCTTCTGTGGACTATAGATCTCCTGATACTTAAATAAATCATCGACACACATGGGCATGTCTGTGTTTAGAATGCAGACAAAATGTTAATCATCTTAAGCTTATAATAACTGTTAGTTCTTTACATGGACAAAGATATCTAAATAACTAAATGAATAAAAAATTGGCGTGGTTACTTTCCAATTCGTGTTCAATTTAGCATTCTAGCAGGAAAAAGCAGAATGGATAGACATAGGGTCCCAACAGAAACAGATCACCCATCCCTGCACCTAGGTTAGGAGTCGCAATGCCATGACTGTCAGCATGAAGATCCTTATAATACAAAAGTCCTAAATGCCCAGGTCTAATGCGGAAACACAGATCAAATGGTGGTTAAACTGTACCAAAATAAATATGCTCAGAAAGTGAAGGTGACATTTTCATTGTGAGGCTTCAGAGCACTGGGAGCAGCACTTACCTTGGGGAAAGGCAGGTCACCGAGCTGGCAGGAAGAATAGCTCAAGCAGCCCCTACCCAGGGAACCTGCAGGCACTGGGGTCACCATCCTCAACTCCAAATCTAACCCTGTCCCCACCCCTGCCCCAAAGCACCACCCAGTAGACATCACAGATACTGACACATTAAATGGGCTGTCATTTCACAAAAGTAGACTGAAGTATTTTATTTTTTTGGTTTTGTTTTCTTTTCTTTTTGGGTCACACCCAGTAATGCTCAGGGGTTACTCCTGGTTGTGAGCTCAGGAGTTACTCCTCGCAGTGCTTGGGGGATCATATGGAATGTGAGAATCAAATCCAGGTCAGCTACATGCAAGGTAAAGGCCCTACCCGTTGTACTATCATTTGGCCCAGACTGAAATATTTTAAAATAAAATAGGAGTATTAATTTAAAAACTCAACTGGGTTCAAAAGTAGGCTTTGTCATAAGCTGGCTATGGATAAGTTACTTAACCCCTCTGTACAACTTCATCTGCAAAATGCGACAGTAGTTATGTCACATGAGTTATTGGTGATTAAATAATCCATGGCTCAGAATACAAGAATGATTTAGTAATAATATTATTTACAGTCTTCCTTCAGGATATAAATAATCTAATTGCTTATAAAGTGATCACATTAGGTAGCTGCAAAGTGATCATATTAAGCATACACATTAAGATATCATAGATCAAGAAAGAATATTTCATTAAAAAATTAAACCCCAAGACATCATCCAGTTTCATTATCTAATCAGCTCAACTTCCCAAGCTTATATTTATTTGTTCTATACCATGAAAAACATTAGTGTATATCCAAGGAGTATCTTCAAAATCAAGAAAAAGTAATACTGAATAACATTATGAAAACTGGCCTTTCACACACAGTATTGCTGAATCGCCATACTGTCTACAGTCTTCAAATGTACTATGTTAAATGGCTACTATAAAGTATTACTGCTGACAGTAACATCAGCAATATTCAAAACTAATACTTAAAAACTGAAGTCAGAAGGGGCCGGAGCAATAATACAGAAGGTAGGGCACTTGCCTTGCACAATGCTGACCCAAGTGTGATCCCTGGTACCCCATCTGATACCCTGAGCCCACCAGGAGTAATTCCTGGTACAGAGCCAGGAGTAGCCCCTGGGCATCACTGGGAGTAACCCAAATAACAAAATCAGAAGTTAAAAGTTAACAGTTATGTATGAACTAGCTAGCATAAAAGAAATTATTTTTCGACATTTAGTTTTTACTTTAACTGGACAGATTAGTCTAAAAATGGAAAAATGTTAATACACATGTCACAGGTTTCTAAAAGCAAGAGCAAAACTTGTAAAGTTAACTGCCACAGACAACCAGAAAGCTGCTCAACAGGCTGGGTGCATTCTCTGCACCCAGGGGCCCGAGTTCGAACCTGGCAGTGAGTGGTATACAGAGCAGCATGGGAACCCCGGCCAGGCACTGAGCCGAGAAACAGCCCCTAGCACAGCTGGGTGGCGCCAAAACAAACAAAACTTCAAAGACATGATGTCATGAAGACCTATGGGATACAGAATTCAGATATGCTCATGAGTGACAAACTATGTTTGAAAGAGTATTTCATTCAAAACTTCCCTGCAGTGTTGGAACATGGTCTGACTGAAACCCAAGCATGAAAAAACTTCCTGTGTATTTTATGGCCATCCGATGAAACAGAAAAGAAAAGAGAAAAACTTCTCTGCAGATGAGCCCCTAAAGTAACTGGAAAAAAATCCTGATTTTGGCAATGAACCATGATTACATGATAAAGTTGACTTATCAGTTATGCAAAATGAAGAGCCCGATGCAGGCTACTCATTATCTGCCTGATCAACTTTAATTTTAAGATTCCTGCGACTGGAAACATACTGCCTACAAAGTCTGGAAGTGTCTCCATTTATTTTTCTAAAATCTTCTGAGAGAACTGTTGGTTTCTTGCTATTAGATACATTATTCTCTCAACTTTTAAAACCTGTGGTCTTTTAAATACATTATTCTCTCAATTTTTAAAATCTGTGGTTTTTTAAATACTCCATTTTTAATAATTTGTGGTCTTTTTTGTTGGTTATGCCCTTCAAGATCTATTTTGTAGAGCACTATATATAACTGGAGAACAAAACTAAATTAATTTATTGCATTATCATTCTCACCTCTCAAAATCTAGGAGAGGAATCTGTCTCTTCAAATGCAGCATTTAAGTGCTTCTACTTTTCTTCTTTATTTAAAAAATGTTATCTGTACAAAGTACTTTCAGGTTCCCCAAATCCTAGAGATTTCAAAACCACAACAGCCACAGTTAAGATATGAAGTAAACATTTTCCTCAGGTACTCTACAGTGTACATGAAAAAATTCAATTTAGGACTTAAAATGTGAAAAATCAAAATAAATAAACAAAGGTGCTTTCTTCATGCAAAGGGATCTTTAATGCCATTGGGGAAATAGTCCAAATACAAATATTGTATTTATTTATACAATACAGATTTCAGCATATATATAATATAGCATGGTCTCCCATATCCTTGGAGTTAATCGATTAATTTCCAAAGTAAATTCAAAGTGGATTTTCTAAGCTAAATGAGCAACAGCAGTATCAAGGTTCAATAATGCAAAGGTTGCTATTTATTTGAGTTTGTGTTAGAATAAAATTGTTACTATTTAGGTAACATTCTTTTGAAGCCAAGAACCAAGACAAAATGCTCAGGCTTGACCTGGGTTGGGGATTGGGGCTGGTTTAAATCCCTAGAAAGAAAAAAGGTATTAATGGAGCAAGGAAATACTAGATGTGTGGCAATTAATAATCAACTCCACAGTGAGAAAGTCTGCAAGGGAATTCCTTCTCCGTAAATAGTTCTGTGCTTTTCTTTGGCAGAATGATGTGGTATCTTGTATTTGACCGTCAGCAGTGGAGGGGCTGGGGCAGGAACCGGGTGCTGGTGACTGTGAAGCTGAATGAGCCAGACGGGCTCCAGGCCACTCTCTACTCAGAGCACAGGTAGAGTCAACGGCAACAGCATCATAAGCATGTTACCTCAACTATAAGGAATTTTTTAAACAAACAAACACTGTCCTCCCATTGTTTATAGATTTGCTCGACTGGGGACCAGTAACATCTCCATAGTGAGAGAGAAGTCTCCATTGTGATACTTCTTGTTACTGTGTTTAAATAGTAACAAAAATAGTTAAAGAAGCCAAAATGTAAAAATACCCTAATGGGTCTGAAGAGAGCTCGGCAGGTGCATTGAGGTGCGCCCTGCATACATGAAATCCAAATCTGCTCCCCAGTACTGCACTATGATCTCTGAGCACTGTTGGGGCAAGACACAGGGGCAGGGAGCCACTGTCAGGAATGGCCCCCAAAAACCAAATCCAAACAAACAAAAGGATCAGAAAAAAAAAAGGATGCTCTGTGCCCCAGTGCTCCTTGGGGAGGGCAGGGGACTGAGATGGAGCCTGAGTTGTCTACACTATAGCATAGTATATGCCGGAGCTGAGCTGTCTGCCCCTCCTGGGAGCACACTCGGGCAGACTTCCAGTCCAGCTTTCAAAGTTCTTCTACTTTATCTTGTTGGCTGACCATTACCAGCAGGTGTCTTGATCATAAAATGAATTATCCTCCATATCAACATACAGGTTTTTCTCTCACTTTCTCCCAGGAGAGGGAATTACAATGTGAAGTAATGGTGCGAAATAAATCCAAATCAATAAAAGTTAAAGGTAATTGAACAGAGCAAGTTAGGGTATAAGTAGTAAGTCTGTCACCTACCTTCCACAGTGGACACTTGAACAAGTCAAACAGACCCAGGGGCTTTTGTTGGACCGGCACACTAATGAAAAGAAAAATACACAAGATACCAATTGTAGCAGGTTATTTCCCAAAGTCTCCACTAATCCATAAAAACACATCCTATGATTAAGCTAGAAATTCCATGCTGTTAAGCGTACCGAAATGACCATTATTGCTTTGTGAACCAGTTACACAGAAGAGCTGCTAATCCAAGTTCCACAGGAAGAACTTCAGTGGGTGCATGACAGCTGCTCACTGTGTTTGCCGGCCTGTCTGAAATGGTTCGATCAAAAATCAAATGCGTAAGCACTTTTCTTCTCCATCACTCAGTGCTCTTTACCATTCTCCAGCAAGTTTCCGGCAGTTCTAGTGTCAGGAACACTTTTAGAAGGCTGAGAGGCAGCACAGCAGGCTGGAGCACATGCTCCTGCCTGAATCCATGGCACATAGCCCCCCAACACTGCCAGAAGTGACCCTAGATCACTACGGTATGTGGCCCCAAAACCAAAAAAAAAGAACAAAAAGTTATCTGACGTCTCATTTTGCGATCACGGGTGTTTGCCATGCAGATCACACACTATTGCATAGAATAACTCTTGGTTTGGTGAGTAAAAAGTAGTCTTAGGATATAATTAGGAAGACTAAGCCGAGTTTTCCTCAAATATAACAATGCACATAATCCCTTCTGGGGTACAACCACGTTAGTTATTATATGACTGTGTACAAACTTTTGAAATACTTTATTACAATGCTGGCTTGCTAAAAATGAAAAACCCAGTTTTTCAAGCAGACTTTTAAAGGGAAATAAAATTGTAAAAATCATCTGGAAAGCATCTCCCAAGTTTCCATTTTTCAGCCAGAATGAGAATAAACATGCGCATTTGGGGCAAGCTGTGTCCTCAGGGACTCCAACACAACTATCCAGTCAGCCCCCCAGGGCAGAGCAAACCCACACCCAGGATCCCAGGAGATCCACACAGGAGGTGATCCATACAGGAGGTGATCCACACAGAAGGTAGCCAACAGACACCTGTGGAAACCACATTCCCCCAAAATCTGGTCACCATGGTAACGAGCTTTTCACGTTGTTAGGGAAAATCACCTGAAGGCTGGGAGACAGTCCAGGCATCAGGGCCTCGCCTTGCGTGTGGCTTTACTGGCTATTCCTGGCTCTACAGTTGGTCCCCAAACACAACTAGGGGTCACCCCTGAGCACAGAGCCAAAGAGCCCCCAAGAACCAACCAGCAGAGGGCCCAAAAACCAAAAGGAAAAACTAAACAAAAGCGGAAATAAAATAAATCAAGTACCCTGAAAATGAAACTGTTTAATAGACGTTTATTATTAAACCAACAAAGATATTTAATCATAGCACCATTGTTTGACTTGCTGTTTATAACTAACTCATTGGGACACAAATCACAAAGTTACAAGTAAACTTGCAGATTTTATTATTTCTTTCCAGCACACTCCAAATGTTTTGATTTCACTACCCTGCAGGACATCAACCAACTCTGTCCCTGGCAATTAATTCCCACGTTCTTGCCTTGGTGCCTTACTCATGACACTTCCTCCCCACTGGGAGTCCGCTTTCCCTGCTGACAGCCTCACCAGCTAGTTAAGCCTCTGACAGGCTCAGTCGACGTGCGCGCAGAAGGCAGAGGAAGCCACACAGCACTGGAGAACACCCTGCTGCAGCCCACACAGCTCCAGCTATTCCGACCGCCAAGGCGCTGCCTAACGAACACCCCTCAGTCCCACTGCCCCTCCTCACTGCCTTCCCCACTCACACTTACTGCCAAAACCTTCCTGAAGGAACCTGAGGTTTTCACTCAGATCCAATGTTGCCATACGCAGGGCACATTAATAAGTCAACTAATGTTATTAACATGTTACTAATATGTTGCTATATGTAAGCCACATTACAGAAATGCAGAGAAAATTCCTGTCAGATAGCTAACAGCAATTAGTTTAAGCAGACCATGAAAAGAACAAAAGGCTCTGGCTTTGACTGGAGCAGCTCTGTGATATCTGACTCAGCAGTGCTGCAGGCAGGTAAGGGAAATCGCTCCTGAATCTCACTATTCCCCGAAAGTGCATCTGCTGCCCCTCACCTGCCTGCAGCACTGCTGCCAGTCGAATATGTAGCCTGTTTCCCTCTGAAATATGAATCCTGAGGAGAAGCTAAGGCACTGTCCAGATGGAGAAACCCAGCCCCACAGCCAGAGGTGGGTGGGCGCTCCGGGAGGAGCGACAGAAGCTGAGATGACGATGATGAGGTCATGAGAAGGCCGTTCACAGAGCGAGGGATGCGATCACAAGACCACCGGCAGTGCAAGGCTTTCCTGTGACAACACCCAGATGAACAGGCACTGAATGAAGCCAACCTGTTCAGTAAAACCACTCCACTTTCCTCCTGCGGCCCTTTCCTGCAGGCAGGCGCCAGGCCCATGTCTGCGCAGATCTGGGACGGTCCTGCCCTAGACCTGGCACTCCCCGGAGCTGCGGTGGGCTGAGCAGAAAGGTGAAACACTCTTTCTGTTGTTTACTTTGTTCTGGTTTTTATTTTGGGGCCACAAGCAGCCGTACTCGTGGCTTGCTTCTGGCAGTGTTTGGGGGACCATGTGGGGTTCCGGGGGACAAACCCAGGTCGGCGATGTTCAAGGCAAACCCGCTCCCTCTGTATTTACTTACTCTCCAGAGGAACGATTTTCTTGCGTCTACTTCTCTCACTCCCCACTCAAGCAAAAGGAACAAGAATATAACCATAGTTTGGGAGGAGGGGAGAAGCCACATTAATTAAAGGTAAAGGTAAAGGTAAAGGCCCTCCCGTTGTTCATTGATTTTGCTCGAGCGGGCCCAGTAATGTCTCCATTGGAGATTTTGTTGTTACTGTTTGGCATATCGAATACATCACGGGTGGCTTGCCAGGCTCTGCCGTGTGGGTGAGACATTAATTAAAAAAAAAATTTATTTGAGCAGATACAATCTCAGAGACTGAAAACTATAAATACTACAGCTCTGTTCCTTTAGTAAATATCTTTTGCTCTTAGAAAAAAAAAAAGCATGGCACTGTAGCACTACCCTCCTATAGTCCATATGGGCACCAGTAATGTCTCCACTGTGAGATTTGAAAAAAAACTAAGAAAAACTACCTTAGTACGGGGAAAAATTGGCTGTTAAAGTTTATTTTTTTAACTCAATAACTTTGAATAATATAACAGGTTATCACATAAATGGAAGAATACCAAAATAACCTTAAAATCAATTTTTAGGGGCCAGGACTATGCCTCAAGCAAGCAAATGACATGCCTGCCACATGCAAAGCCCACAATTCAATTTCTAGCATTACTTGTCCGTTGAGCAGGGCCCGGTGCAGCCCCCAAAGCCCCCAGTACCCTCAGGGCCCAGGAACTGACCCATCAACATAGACATCGGAAAGAGAGTCTCAGGCAGTGGGTGTGGCCCCTATCTTAAATCTTTTTATTTTAATCACGTTGCAGGAAAATCTGAAATAAAGTATCAACTTAGAGATGTGTCTCAAAAGTTTATCTGCAGGATGGACACATTTTTCACAGAAGCAGTATTAGAAGTTGCTAGGCTCTTATAAAACTCTGCGTGAATTATAACAGAGCTGAAATACTGCGTATTTCATAGTGCGTGGAATATCTTAAGTTATGAATATACGCCTATCCACAAGCAAAACAAAAATAGTAAATTAAAAGTTTCTGTTTCAATCTCAAAGCTGATGAGAGAAAGAAGCTAGTAAGAATGGAAAACTATAGAAGGCCAAAGAGATAAGCCTGATAAGCCCTCGGGGCTTTCTGGTCTACTTCAAGGGTGTGTCAAGGCCAAGGCCTCACCCAGCACTTCTCACCTCCGCATGCTTGACCACAGCAGGGTTGCTGCAACTCAAGGTCTGCACACTCTCACTTCTGCTGCCTCAGGTCGCCCCACCCCAACCTCACACTCCTCTCTGCAATTCTGGGTCTGAGGCTGGGCTCAGGGCAGCATGAGGGGCCGCAGGAGCCCACCTTCCAACATGCCCCGAACGCAAGCTTCTTCCTGAAGGCCCTGCAACACTCCGGAACATTCCTGAAATCAGGAAGTGAGAGCTTAAGGGGTAGACGCCAGGGGCAGGAAGCCATGTGACCGCGAGACCACAGTGGCTCGACCCTACAACCCTGGACACAGAGCTGGACACATGAAGGGAGGGGCGACAGACGAGCAGAGAACTAACAAGTTCTGTACGTGCAGGGGCTCACTGACACATGGCTGTTTCCACTTGGGGTTCGGAGGTGAGGAGTTAGTAAGACAAAAGGCCATCCACAATGAAAAAGAAAGTTCTTGCTACATATTGTTGTTCAATATTCTATGTTCACTACAATAAATCTAATAATATAATCCACATTGGATACCAAAGCCCAACTACATGTTTTAAGGAATTCTAATTTTTTTTGTTACAAAATATCATGTACAATAGCTTATGACTCAGTCACTGTCCTGACACAAAATAGTCAAGAGCACACAGCACCACCAGGCAAGCATTCATAGTGCATCTGGGATTTAATCACTGCCTCAGCTGTGAGAGGCACTGCAGCCACTGAGGAATCAGAAAGGAGGTTCTGCAGCATGATCACTGTCATGCAATGGAACCACAAGCACACCCAGGTTAATACTGCACAGTCACACCTCTTGGCACTGGGTGAAGACAGGCAGGGAAAGAAAAGGCAGCACCCACCTGACTCTTCACTCTCCCAGGGGTCTAACTGCAAACAGGCCCCCTCAGCACAGCAGGACAGAGAACACCAGAGAAAACAGGAAGAAGCCTGCCAAGGTCAGCAATCGAGAACAGCATCCTAAGAGGCTCAGTACATCCTCAGAGAAAAACTGCGGTGACACCACTCTGAGGAAGTTCTATGAGCTCAAAGAAATAATGGCACAGGCAGTCGGCAAAGCACGAAACAGGATTAAAATGAAAAAACTACATTCAAGCAGAAATAAAGATTCCATCAGGTGACCAAAAAAAAAAAAAAAAAAAA